GAATAAAAAGAGTCTAGACATAATCTTTCAAAAAATTATCAAGGAAAACTACCATGATATCCTAGAACCTGAAAGTAAAACAAAAAATTGCAAGAATCCACTGATCACCTCCTGAAAGAAACCTCAAAATGGAAACTTCAAAGGAATATTATAGCCAAATTCCAGAGCTCCTGATCAAGCAGAAAATACTGCAAAAACTCAGAAACAAACAATTTAAATACTGTGGAGCCATAGTCAGGACCACACAGGATTTAGCAGCTTCTACACTATAAGAAAGGAGGGCCCAATTATATGCCAATAAATCTAACAATCTAAGTGAAATGGACGCATATTTACAAAAATGTAAGTTGCCCAAATTAACAGAAGATAAAAGAGAATACTTAAATAACCCTATCTTAGAAAAAGAAATTTAACAAACTATCAGTGAGCTCCCTAAGGAAAAAAAAAATCCCCAGGGCCAGAATTCACAAGTGAATTCTACCAAACATTTATAAAACAATTAATTCCAATATTACATAAAGCTATTTGGAAAAATAGGCAGAGTCCTACCTAATTCCTTTTACAGCACAAATATTGTGCTGATATCTAAACTAGGAAGAGACAAAACAGAAAAAGAAAACTACAGACCAACTTCCCTAATGAATATTGATGCAAAAATTCTAAATAAAATATTAGTGAGGAGATCAGAGTAATACATCACAAAGATCATACATTATGACCAGGTGGGATTTATACCAAGAAAGCAGGATTGGTTCAATATTAAGAAAACTATCAGCATAACTGACTATCAGTATAATATAATCATTATCAATAACACAATAAAAAAAATCATATGATTATCTCAACAGATGCAGAAAAGGCTTTTGACAAAATACAATATTCATTCCTATTAAAAAGTCTAGGAAGCACAGAAATAAATGGAGCTTTCCTTAAAAGGATAAGTGCTATCTATCCATTTAAATCCAACAGCAATTATTATCTACAGCTGGGATAAGATAGAAGCTTTCCCAGTAAGATCAGGGATGGAGCAAGGAGGCCCATTTTCACCACTATTATTTAGTACTGTACTACAAATGTTAGCTATAGCAATAAGAGTAGAAAAAGAAATTGAAGGAATTAGAATAGGCAATGAAGAAACAAAACTATCACTCTCTGCAGATGATATGATGGTTTACTTGGAGAATCCTTAGAATCAACCAAAAAAAACTAGTTGAAATAATTAACAAATTTAGCAAAACTGTGGGATATAAAGTAAACCCACATAAATCATCAGTATTTCTATATATTACCAACAAAGTACAGCAGCAAGAGATAAAAAGAAATTCAGTTTAAAATAATTCTAGACAATATAAAATAACTGGGAATCTACCTGCCAAAACAAACCCAGGAACTATATGAACACAATTACAAAACATTTTTCATAAAAATAAAGTCAAATGCAAACAACTGGAAAAACATTAATTGCTCATGGGTAGGCCCAGCCAATATAATAAAAATGATAATTCTACAAAAATTAAGATGGTTATTCAGTGCCATACCAATCAAACTACCAAAAATTATTTTACAGACTTAGAAAAGTAATAACAAAATTCATCTGCAAGAACAAAAGGTCAAGAATATCAAGAGAATTAATGGGGAAAAAAATGTGCAGGAAGACAGCCTATCTGTACCAGCTCTCAAACTGAATTACTAAGTAGCAATCATGAAAACAATCTGAACAGAATGGTGGATCAGTGGAACAGATCAGGTACACAAGACACAGTAGTAAATGACCTATTATAATGCTCTACTAGTTGATAAACCCAAAGAGCCCAGCTTCTTGGATAAGAACTCACTATTTTACAAAAACGCCTAGAAAAACTGGAAAGTAGTTGGGCAGAACAACCAAAGGTACAGACCAATACCTTACACTGTGTATCAAGATCAGGTCAAAATGGGTGCATGATTAAGACATAAAGGGTGATACCATAAGCAGAGTAGCGGAGTGTGGAATAGTTTGCCTGCAAGATCTATGGAGAAGGGAAGACTTTATGATCAAACAAGAGATACAGAGCATTCAGAAAGGTAAAATGGATAATTTTGATTACGTCAAATTCTCAAGTTTTTGCACAAAGAAAATCAATACAGTCAAGATTAGGAGGAAAGCAGAAAACTGGGGGAAATTTTTTTATGAGTTTCTTAGACCTTATTACTCAAATACATAGAGAACTAGGTCAAATTTATAAGAACAGAAGTCATTCCCCAATTGATATGAACAGGTGGTTTTCAGAAGAAAAAAATCAAAGCTTTCTATAGAGAAATGAGAAAAGTGTTCCAAATTACTCCTGATTAGAGAAATGCAAATTAAAAACAACCTTACACTTATCAGATTGGCTAATATGACAGAAAAGGAAAATTATAAATGTTGGAGAGGATATGGGAAAACTGGGACATGAATACACTGCTGGTGGAGCTGTAAACTGATCCAACAATTCTGGAGTGCAATTTGGGACTATGCCCAAAGGTCTATAAAACGGTGCCTCCTCTTTGACCCAGCAATACCCCTACTAGAAATAGAAAAAATAGAAAAAGAAAAGGACCTATATGTATAAAAATATTTATAGCAGCTCTTGGTGGCAAAGAATTGGAAATTAAGGGGTTACCCATCAATTTGGGAATGGCTGAATATGTTATGCTATATGATATAATGGAATACTATTGTGCTATAAGAAATGATGAGCAGGGTGCTTTTAGAAAACCCAGGAAAGACTTACATGAACTGATACAAAGTGAAAGTGAGCAGCACCAGGAGAACACTGTACACGGTAACGGCAATACTGTACAGTGTTCAACTGTGAATGATTTAGCTATTCTCAGCAAGACAAACATACAAGACAATTCTGAAGGACTTATGATGAAAAATACTATCCACCTCCAGAGGAAGAACTGATGCAATCTGAGTGAAGATTGAAGCATACTGTTTCTTTACTTTTTATTTTTTTTTGGGGGGGGGGTTGGCTGGGTTTTCTTTTACAAAATAATTAATATGGAAAAGTTTTGCATGACTGTACATGCATAACCTTTATTAAATTGCTTGCCTTCTCAACGAGGAATGATGGAAGGGTGAAAGAGAATTTAGAACTCAAAACTGTAAAAACAAAATTAAGAATAAAAATTGTTTTTACATGTAATTGGGAAAAAATAAAATATTTTCATAAGTTTTCTCATTCTCTTAAAATTTTTGTTACAAATGATAGACTGCTCAGTAAGAGAGGGATGTGTTTGCAAATGAAAGCAAAGTAAAAATAAAATTAAAAATACACAAGCTGCATGACCCTACGCAAGTTATTTAACCTCAATGCCCCAGGAAACTCTTAAGAATAAAAGTTGCAGACTACAAGTCAAACTGCATTGGCAAAGGGACTTTCTCATCAAGAGATATATACAAAGATGAAACCACAAGCCCAGTCAAAAACAAATAAATAAATGATGAAGACTGTGAGGAGACTGAAGTGAGGCCAGATTAAGACAGAAGACCAGAACAGCTCTGATTAGCAAGAATTAGTCTGAGAGAAAAATAGAATAGATCACAATCCAATGGGAGGATTTCAGAGATTAGGCTCGAGAAAGTGTTAAAATTTTCTGGGTGCTGGGTATATCCAACTAACAGTGTTGAAGTGAAATTGAGATGAGAAGCAAATTGAAATGGAAGCCTACCACCCTTGTGGTCAAAATGCTTCTGCATGTTAATGTTGAGTTTTCTCAATACACCAGGGAAAGGACTCAATTGACCCAGCTGAATTAGCCCACCAGATGTAAAAGAAGGTTGATGGGGTAAAATTAAGGTATCTCAAAAGTCTACTACTTCCTGACTCTTGCTAATGGTCCTAGGAAAAGCCAGCAAAATTTGTCCTTCTTTAAGATAATAAAAGACCTTCTTTAATTCTTATCCTGGGCCCTCTTCTCTTTTCTCTCTATCGTGTTTCACTTGAGGATTTCATTAGTCTTGTGGGTTCAACTGTCATTTTTATGAAGATGATTCTCAGCACTAAACTCTCTTGAGCTTCAGTCTGACTGCCTCTTGGACAGTTCCAACTGATGTCCCAAAGACATGTTAAATTCAACATGTTCAAAACAGAACTCATCTTTCTCTTCCCCTTCCAAATCCTCCCCCTACTTCTGAACTCTCCTAGTATAGGTGAGGGCACCATCATCCTCCCAGTCACCCAAGCCCCCAACCTTGGTGTCATCTTCAACTCCAGTCATCCCACATATTGAATCCATTGACAAATCTTGTGCTTCCTACCTTCATAAAAACTCTCATATAATTCCCTTCTCTACACTTACACAACAACAAATCAAATTGAGGTGTACATCAGCTGTCACTCAGAAAACTCCATAGCCGCCTTACTGGTCTCTGTGCCTTAAGCCTTTCCACAGTCTAATCAATCCCCCACATAGCTGCCAAAGAGATTTTTCTAACACGTACATCTGTCCATGTCACTTTAATGCTCCAGTGACTTTCTATTACCACTACGAATATAAACTGCATTTGAAGCTCTTTAACAACCTGGCCCCCACTTACCTTTCCAGTCTTCTTATATCTTGTATTTTTAATCCAAGAAATTTTCAAAAGATGTACTAAATTTTATTTTAGAGCTATAGGTCTGGAATAAGGAAGATTTGAGTTCAAATCCAGCCTCAGATACTTCCTAGATGTGATTCTGAGCACCATATGACTCAGTTTCTTCAACTGTAATATGGAGATAATAGCACCTACTTCAGAGCTGTTGTGAGGATCAAATGAGATAATATTTGTAAAGCACTTAACAGTGCCTTATACACAGTAGGCTCTAAATAAATGCTTGTTGTCTTACCTTCCCTTTTTAAAAAGCCAGGAATATTTATACTTTGCAAAACAGAAAACTGAAGTGAGTTATTTACATCTGGCTTAGAAATCAAGACAGTAATTCAAAGAAAATATCTGAATTAGTTTAAGATAGGAAATAATATTTACTTACCAACTTCTCAATTTCTAACTCAAGATTCTGTATGCAGTCAAGTTTTCTTTTTCGACAACGCTGTGCAGCAATTCTATTTTTACTTCGTCTTCGAATATCATGTATACAATCCAGCTGTTCTGGAGTCAACTTATGCATTTTCAGCATGGATTGAAAATCATTTCGAGAAAGTGAAATGATTCTTTGTGCATTGAATGGCAGTTTAACCTAAACCAGACAGAATTAACAGGGATTTACTTTTAAAAAATAAAATATACTAGGAATGAAATTAGATATTAGAAATAAAAATTCTGATTTTTTGAAAACAATCTTCATTTAGTCCAATGATAGAACTAATATTGAACAATGGATCCAGTTTCTCTATTCTTTCCAATAACAGAGACCAAGAGTTTCGGCCAAAGTTCTAATCTATTTTAGAGAAGACTGCACATACAATTAAGACTCAGTTGATGTGTTCATTAGTTTTGTTGAACTGTTTGTTTTCCTCTTTATAAAATTCTTTGTTCCAAGAATGGTTTTTGGAGTAGGGGAGGGGGGGAAAGAAATCCTCCCCCATTCAATCTACAAATGAAAGTGGCAAGGGTGGAGTCAAGATGTCAGAGTAGCAGGATGAAGTACAGCCCAACTCCCCCACCAAACCTCATCCACAAAGTCCTAGAAAATACACCAGGACAAATTCTGATTGAGAAATTCAAGAAAAAGTTACAGTGAGTCATTCTGCAGCGCAGGGTAGTTTATGAAGACTTGGCCATTACTGGATACAGGGTCTGCCCAGAACTGCGCTACAATGAGAAACATTCTAGAGTCCAGAGACTGAAAGATAGCCATGACTAAGTAGGTCAGATGCGGTGGAAGCAGGGATTCTGCATTACAAGGGTGGTGCTAGCCAGCACTTAATGTGGATTGAGCAGGGAACAAGTTCTGGAAGTAAAAAGTAACTGTGTGGCTCTGAACCAAAGGGTAGAACAGGGACTCAGTCTAGCCTCCAGCTCAAGGTGGGAAATCTACAATGAATTAATGAGGCAGGAGACCCAGACCAAATGGGAACCTGCAAATTTGGTAACTGGGGAGATTCGCAGAGGACTAATAGTGCCTGAGACCAGCAGCAGTCTACTGAAACCCCCAACTACACACACAAGCTGACAGATCCAAAACCTGGGCCAGAAACTGGCAGAGCTCAGATCAGGAGGAAAGTAAGCAGACTGTGTCATGGACCACATTACTTTGGGAGCATAAAAAGCTTGCAAGCCCCAATTCATAGCTGTGAAAGCAGAAGAACATAAAAGGACATAAGCACAGGATAGACACACCTCCCCCCAAATCCTGGCCCACACAAAGCAGTGAAGGCCAGCACTAACAAACTAATATCTATCTTCTTGGTCTCTGTTATTGGAAAGATGATAGAAATTGGATCCATTGTTCAACATTAGTTCTCTCACTGGACTAAATGAAGATTGTTTTTGAAAAATCTGAATTTTTATTTTAATATCAAGGTAATGAAGTAAGCTGAAAGTCAAGAAGTAGGCTGGAAAAAGGAGCAAACAAAAGACAAAAGAAACTCACCATAAAGAACTATTATCAGGACAGGGAAGCTAGACACAAACTCAGAAGAAGAGTGTTACATAGCCTCAAAGAAAAATACAGCTTGGCCAAAAGTCCAACTACAATCCACGGAAAAGTTAAAGCAAGAGGGTGGGAGGAGAAAGAGCTAAAAAATTATTTTAAAAACAAAATGTGAGCTATGGAAGGTATAAGGTATATGGAAGGTGTATATATATGGAAGGCATTTTCTTTACCCAAGAAAATAATTCCCTGAAAATCAGAAGTGACCAAATAGAAGCTAATGACTCAATGAGACACTGAGAAATATTAAAACAAAGTTAAAAGACTGAATAAAAAAGAAAAAGAAAATGTAAGGTTTCTCAGCAAAAACTGACTTATAAAACAAATAAGAGAGACATTTGAGAGTCAGAAGACTACCTAAAAGTCATGACCAAAAATGAGCACCTAAATAACATATCAACTTAACATAACAAAAGAAATCTGCCCAGAGTTCTTAGAACCAGAGGGCACAGAAGAAATTGAAAGAATCCACTGGCAACTCCTGAAAGAAATCCCAAAAATGAAAACTCCCAGGAATATTGTAGTTAAAACACAGAGCCCATAAGTCAAAGGAAAAAAAATATATGGCAAGTGGCCAGAAAGAATTCAAGTACCAAAGAGCCACAGTCAGAATAACACAAGATTTAGCAGCCACCATTATAAAGGAGCAGAAAGTCCAGAAGATGATATTCCAGAAAGAAAAAGATCAATGCTTATACAAACAATAACGTACCCAGCAAAACTTAGTATAATTCTACAGGGGAAAAAACAGACCTTTAACGTAATAGAGGACTTCCAAGAATTCTTGATGAAAAGATCATGATTCAACAGAACAATGGACATACAAATACAGGAGTCAAGAGAAATATAAAAAGATAAACATTGACAAAGAAAACATAAGGGACTAATAAACAAGGTTAAATTATTCACATTTTTCTATGGGGAGATAATACAGGTAGCCCTTCAAAATTCTATCAATATCACAGGTTGTAGAGGGTGGCAAATTTGGCAAAGGGCCTCAAAGCAGCTCTTTCATGTTTTAATGATCTTACAGGAATAATGGAAAAGGAAGGGAAGAGGATTAAATAAGAAAGGAAAGAAGAGAGGGAAAAATTATTAAATATAAATGGAGTACACAAGTAAAATATGCAAGTAGGGTATACAAGGAGGGGGGAGTATGTGGTAGGTAACATTTGACCCATACTCTCATTTGAGCTAGTTAAAGGGAAGAAGAATACATATGCATACACACACAAATGGGTACATAACTACATTTTACCCAACACAGAAAGAGATGGAAAGGGGGTTAATGTAAAGGAGAATAAAAAGTAGGTTAGATTAAGAGAGTGATTAGTCAGAAGCAAAACAAACTCTTAAAGAAGGGGAGGGGGAAAATGTAAAAAAGAATAAGATGAAAGGGAATAACACAATTAGCAATCATAAATGTGAATGGGATGAACTTACCCATAAAACAGAAGAAAATAGCAGACTGGATTAGACAATAGAATCCAACAATATGTTCTTTACAAGAAACACAATTGAAGCAGAAAGATATAGAGTTAAAATAAGAGGCCAGAACAGAATCTATCAGTCAGTTGATAAACATTCATTATAAACTAATACTATGTGTCAGGCATCAAGCTAAGTGGTGGGTGTACAAAGAAACACAAAACACAATCTAATGGGAGAAATAACATGTAAACAACAATGTACAAACATGCTATAAACAAGATATAACCAACAGAAGGAAGACAACTAGAATTAAGAGAGATTAGGCAAGGCTGTCTGAAGAATATGGGATTTTAGATTTAGATGTGACTTTAGAATACGTGATTTTAGATGGGGAGGAAGAGGACTGCAAGCATCAGGGATAGCCAGTGAAAAAACCCAGTCCAGAAACTAAGTATCTTGTTTGAGGAACAGTAAGAAGGTCACTGTCACTGAATCAAAAAGTACTGGGGGATGGGGAAAAGTAATAAGCGGTCTGGGGTTTTCTTGGCAAAGATACTTGAGTGGTATGCCATTTCCTTCTGCAGCTCTTTTTACATAAGAGGAAATTAAGGCAAACAAGATTAAGTGACTTGACCAGAGTCACCGAGTTAGTGAATGTCTGAAGTCTTCCTGCCTCCATGCCTGGTGCTCTGGCCACCGAACCACCTAGCTGCCTCGAAAAAGAATGGCCTCTTTCAAATTCATGTCACTAATGGTAGGAATACTAATGTACAAACAGCTGTTATCACACGCACATTGATTTACCACAGGAGAAAATGTAGAACAATCTTATTTCAGCTACATTCAATGATGATAAAGTGGTAAAGAAATACATTGTTAATAAAACTAGTTGAAATGACTTATGAAAAAATTAAGGATATAAAATCATAACACAAAAAATACTCAAAGAAGGGGCAGCTAGGTGGCACAGTGTATAGAGCACTGGCCCTGGAGTCAGGAGGACCTGAGTTCAAATCTAGCCTCAAATACATAACTACCTGTTGACTAGCTGTGTGACTCTAGGCAAGTCACTTGACCCCAACTGCCTCACCCCCCCCCAAAAAAATACTCATAGAGGTCTAGCAAAGTGTTACACTGCAAAGACCACTTTTTCTTTCATACAACTAGTCACTGGCAGTTTAGGGTAACATGCAAAGAAATACAACAAAACAATCACTGACTTCACAGAAATCTTGAGACCAATGAAGTCAGTGATTTATGTGTATTCTTCTGAAGGCAAATACATATCCGATATTCACAGAATCACTGAAGTTTTTCTTCTTAAGATTCTACACCAAATTTGAGCAGTTTCACAATTGCCCAATGTTTGACTACATGAATATATCATAATTAAAACTTTATTTTATGAAGTACCCAGACATAAATATTTCAGAAGAGGCTTACAGACATCTCCCCTTATACACATGTAGATAAATTATGTCCTTACCTCACATTCTTGTTCTCTGGCCGAGTAAGATTCACTGTCCCCTTCTGTATCTGTTTCAGAATCATCTCCCAAGCTAATCACACATGCATACGGGCAAGGCTCTTGCTGTGATTCTGGAACAAAATCATCACTTCCTATTTCCAAATTATTTGTACATTCTTCATTACTAAGAGTATTTATAAATGGGCAGCTGACAGAATTCAATGTAGTAAAAGTTCTTTGACACTGTTCAGGACTCTCACTGATTCTGATACCTAACCAGGGACATTCTGATCTTTTTTGTGAATATACATGTTCTGAACAATCTTTTGCTACTAGGGCAGGTGAAAGCTGAATTTGACAATTAGTGTCTGTATTGCAAAAGTCACTCCAGAAACCTTTTGCTAGGTGCTCTGCCACTTCCCTTTCCACACTGCTTCGATCATTTGTTGATGCAGGCTTCTCATCTCTTTGGCCTGAAGCAGATTTCAAAGGCAGAGCTTGATTTTCAGTGATTGCTTTATCTGCTCTCATATCTGCACCAGTCAAAGGGTCTTCAGTTAACATAGTTACATTTTGCATACCTGTAAGATTCAAATCACCATATTGTTCATATGTGTGCAAAAGAGAAAGAGAATAAAATCCAGGGGGTGCCACAGGAGGATCTGGAGGAAACTGAGTCACCTCTGTTTTTGCCACAGAATCCTGACATGCATTGTTTTTTTCCTTTGCTTCTTCCTCCTCCTCATCCATTTCTATTTGACTGTCTTCATGTTTTAGGATCATCTGTAAATCTGTACAGTCTTGGGTTTCTACGGCTTCATTTTCAGATACTTCACCTGGCTGAGCAGAAACAAATGTTGATGTCTGAACACCTTTAACACTGGGCTCCACAATACGAGCTCTATCTGTTCCAAAAGCTTTTTGGAATTTCCTGTACTTTGGGCCTAAGGACGGCAAACCAAGACCATCTTCCTTTTCTAAGCATGATTCATACGTCTGATTGGCACTCTCGTGGAGAGATGGCGGTGTCTCTACATGTTCTTTACACGTTGGGAGTTTAAAGGGAGGAGTCTGAACATGTTCATTTTCTAGTAGTTCTTCTACTTCATTTATTTCCAGATCCCCATGATCCAATAGTGGGATTTTAACATTGGCTTTCTGACAACGTGATGTAAAGCACTTCTTCATTGGGTGTTCTTGCTGGTCTGTGATGGAGTTCAAAAATTTAAGTCTGAGGAACTGAAAACAGGATTCTTCAATGTCGTGTATGCCTAAAAATTTAACACATTTGTATACTTCATCCACGTTGTCTTTATTTAAAATAAGCTTAGCTGTATAGGCAAACTGAATCAAAGGATCAAATCCTTTAACCGTCACCTGTCAAAAGAAACAAAAAATAATCATTAACATACTATATGAAAGGTTCAGTTCAATTAAAAACAAACATTTCAACTACTGCACATAACGTGTTAGGCAACAGAGAGACAAAGTCCGAAAATTCAAGTCTTCATCTTCAAGGACTTGTATTCTAGTGAATGAAAACATGTTCACCAATAAGGAAATACAAAGTAATGAGGTAGGCAGAAGATTCAGAACACTAACCAAAGTCATTAATAGAGAGGAGAGGCGATTCAGGAAGGGACCTGGGTAGGCTGTACTTAAGTTAGGGAGAAGGGAAATCCAGGCACAGAAGGAACAATGAACAACCACAAAAAGGAAAGAGATGGAAAGCCACACATAGAGAGAAGAGCAAATAAGCCAATGTGTCTAGATTGAAGAATACAAGAAGTAGAGTATTATGAAATCAGGCTGCAAAGAGAGATTAGACCCAAACTGTGAAGGACTTTAATTGGGAGGCAGGAATTTTTATCTAATCCTAGAGACAACAGGAAGCCACTGAAGCACCTTGAATGAGGTAGCGACACAGTCATATCTGCTGAAAGTTTAAAATATGCAGAGTAATTGTTAGACAGGGCCAACCAACTATGATTGTCGTCACAACAATAACAGTTTAGTAAAATAAAAACTCCTTAGGAATACTTGTGCATTTTCAAGAGAAGTGTATATCCTGCTCAATAAGCCCATACCCTTCATTTTTTAGTGTCTCATTTTAATTTTCATGAAAAAAGTTATTTGTATCATTACCATAATCAAAGAGTAGTTACTGCCCTACTTTCAAAGAAAGTTTAAGGTATTATGGATATATAAAAAGTAAAAGAGAATCATTTGCAAACTAGTTAAAATTCCAGGTTTCTCTTGCCACACTTCTAAATAGTTTCTAAAATTGCTAAAAATGAGGTGCACATATCTAAAACAAAACAAAACTTTCTGGGGTAGGTCTCTGCCTAGTCATCCTGCCTTTTAAAAAAAAATTAATAAATTACACACAAAACTCCCATATGGAAAATGAGAAATGAGTACAATAGCAGAAATAAGGCCCAAGGGCAGATTTGTACATAAGGACTAGCTCTCTGAAGGAGCATCAGCCAAGTATAAACACTTAACTGTTCTTAAGGGATGATCAGAGATGCGCACCAAAGTGACTCATTCAGGCTCATTTCACCTTTAACAACGTCTCCATTAAGCTAGACAGTAAGGGGAAAAGGTGATTTCCTAAACCAGCTTAGGGTCAAAGATTCTAAGTGACAGAGATGCCTGCCACCAGGGTGGGAGGGACTTTAAATAGAAAAGCAGTACAACGAAGGCTGACCTCAACAGTCAGCAACTTTATTTGGCAGCTAAATTGGGTGTATAATCCTATTTCATTGGAGGGATGGGAAGGCAGGTTCCCAACTGCCAACAAACATTCACCATCATTCCATGTATTCCATGACAAATAATTTAAGACCAGTTAACTCAATAACTGACTCTTGGTACTTTTAATGGTAAGAACATTAAAAAAATCTAAAATTTCTTGATTTACAGTACAAAAATCATAATAGAGAAGGTGAACACTTCCCAGTTTGAATCCTCAGGAAGCAGGTGAAAAGACGAGGATGGAAGTTTTAAGTTTATTGTATTCTACCAATGTTACAGCAGGGTTTCACATGACATTGTTCATTTAAAATTTTTCCATTAAACTTAATTGTCTGGGGCAATGTGACATAGAATCCACTCAGGGGTGTGCTGAAGCCAACTGGCTGAGCCCAGTGTTAAATTGTCAGTACAAGCATTTACACCTTAGTAATCAGCAAATGCTACAAATCAGAGCTTGATTTATTGTTTTGTTGATTGTCTAGACTTAAAAAAGTGATGAAAAAAATGTTAATGACGCAGAATTAATCTTAAAAATGTATACATCTTTTCCTATGAAAGCTGGTTGTTAACATTTACCAGTAAACGACGACTATATTTTAATGACACTTTCAGCCACAATAAGAAAACTATCACCTACACTTGGAATAGGGAGGAAGACATTTTACCAAATCACAACTTGACACTTTAATGATATTTAGAAGCATTTATAAACTTTAACAATGAATATCATTAAACAATAACAAAAAAAGAAAAAATTTGCAGACTATATTTTTAAGGTTCTCTACCCAAATAGTGACATATTGCCAGGTTGACATAAATGAGAAACCTCATCTTCCTTAAAATAAAAGGTAAATTAAATAAAGAATAAATAGAATGAAAGAAAACACGAAATTTATTGATCATTCAGCACCATAGGCTCTATTATGCTTCTAATAAGAAAAAACTACTTTTTTTTGGTTAAAATATTATTTACCTAAAAACCTAAATATGGTTTTGCTTTAAGTTGTTTAAAAAATTCATTTCAAAGTAATCAGAATTATAACTTCTAATTTTGTAGTCATATAAGCTTTTTGGAAAATATCACTAAGAGATATATGCTTATTTATTCATGTAATCTTACTGCTTTGATGTTGTTTTTTTTTTTATAGGCCAGGACATCGATATTTATCTGACAGGAAAAGGGATAATTTAAATTACCTAAGAAAATGCTCCCAATTTCAAATAAATTCTGTATTTTTAGATGTATTTAGATGTATGTAAGATGGCTCATACGATTCTTTACAAACACTTTCCCAAAACAGAGAGGTAGTTATTTAAAAATTTAAATTCAACGTATTTAGACTGAGGTTCTACACCAATGCCTCTATCCCAAACCTGGGTTCTTGATGGAGAAAGTTCTGGCAGATCTTAGAAAATAAAGGCTTCAGGGCACTTATATGGTGAAGTAGATAGAGCTCTGGCCTTGGAGGCAGGAGGACCTGAGTTCAAATCTGGTTTCAGACACTTGACACTTACTTACTAGCTGTGTGACCTTGGGCAAGTCACTTAACCCCAAATGCCTCACCAAAAAGGAAAAAAATAAATAAATAAAGGCTTCAAGTACAGGCCTGGTTGCAGACTATATGTTTCTTGTCCTGCAGACTAGTTTAGATGAGCTTGAAAGTCTCGTCATCAGGTTCACCTCAAAAGTGAAGTTTGCAGTCACAAAATTCCTGACATCTACTAAGTCATAAAAGGTTTGTGATTACAGGCAGATATGAACTACTCAAAATTCTAATTAGAGTTGGGGTTTCCCATTCTTTGCTAGGCTTTTTTTAAAGCAATGTTCCCGAATTATTCAAACTTAATACTTAACTTAGTGTTAAAACTGACAAGGACAAACTATGAGTTTATTTTTCCATGCTAAAATATTCAACAGAATGAATAAACATTTAAATAAATATATGACAACTCTGAAGCTACTTTAATTAGCAATACCAAGCTGCTATATCTACTCAAATTAACTTGTTGGACCTGAGACACCAGGGAACCTGAATGAATTTACACGATAAACTTATTAATAAAAGCTAATGCCATTATGATATAGAATTAGTGAAGTTAAGACTAGTTGTCCTCAAAAGTAAAATCTCACAACTAAACATTTTATTCAAGGAATACTGTGAATGGATAAGCTGATAGATTATTCTAAGACTCACTTTCTACCTTTGTCCCATTTTAAAGTTTTTGACAAAATATACTTTTAAAAGCTTGACACAGAAGCTCAAATATGTGCATATATGTATATACATATATATATATATGTATATACATATATATATATATATATATATATATACGTATATATATATATATATATATATATATATGCAGAAAGCTGCTGAAAATCATGTCTGTCTTAAATTAGGGAAGTCTTTTTCATCAGACTAATTAGACCATGAGTAGAGTAACATTATTTTACAAAGCTCTTTCCTTGAAACAACCAAGTCACTATCACCTGGAATCTTTAATGCCTTGAAATTAATCCAGGTATAATCTCCAAGTAACAAATGAAGAAACCGACTACAGTGAAATGACTAGCCTAAGAGCTAGTAAATGGTAAAGGAAGATGCATTCTGAACCCAAGTCTTAAACTCCAAATCCATTACACTGTGAAAAAACTAATACATTTACAATGGGCCAGATCAAATGCAAAATGGCAGATGGGGACAATCCAAATGCAGAGGAAAACGTGATTTTTAAAAAAACTTATTTTTTTTAACATCTTAAATCTGAAGTTAATCCCAAAATCTTCAAGATAGGATCCAGAAAATAAAATTTTAAAACTTTTATTGAACTGTGGCTTATTATTATGCATTCCGGGATAGACCTTTTGGAGCAATGCAGTAGACGAACATTAAAAGCTAGCAGAAAGGCGTTTGGTGAAAAGTGAGAAGAGAATTGTGTACAGAAAGGAATGGATTAGAGACCTAAAGACAGTATATGTTCAGTGTTCTTTTTTTTTTTTTTAGGCTTGACCTTATGCTTGTTTAAGTAGGTCAGGAGCCAATATACATTCCCTGGGTATGGAGAATTCAAGTAGTACAAAGCCATGAATGCCAAAACTTTTCTCTTGCAGTAGTCTTTGGTATGGATATCTACAAGGTACTCTTTTGATTTTTAAGTAATGGACAAGGAAGAAAGGCAAACCACATGACCAGGTCAAGAAAGAGTCTAGCAATTTCTGTGGACCTGTAATAGAGGTGTTTGCCTTAAGTAAGGGCTTTGTATAGAAATAGGCTTATTTTCAACTTGACAGACATGACCTATTATAGAAAGAAACGTGGCTCATGGTTGAGTTTTCTTTTTTATTCACTACAGTGTTCCAAAAATAATAGCTTTGTGTTAGCATGATGAATGTATTTCTTAATATGTTTAATTTGTTGTTAATTTATTTAATATTTATTAATATATGTTTAATTCATTGTTAGCAAATTAATCTATTTTCCCTAGCTTGCAAACGGTATCATGTGAAAGCCTAAATTATAGCAAACTTTGGACTGGCTGACTTACTGGAAGGCCTCAGGAGGGGGAAGAGTCATTAAAGACCATGGAAGTTATATTTCTTCCCAGCTTGGGAAGAGAAGAAGCTATGCAGAACTTTAAATCTTTTGGAGAGATGAGAATATAAACTACCAGAATAACTAACAAGCCTTTTCCTAAGACTTGTTAGTAAAAAAAAAAAAAGAGAGAGAGAGAGAGAGAGAGAGAGAGAAACACATTCGAAACAGATAATGTAGAACCTCCTCAAGCCACTGAAAAGCTGCCCAATATTTGGGACTATGGACTTTGCCAGCCACACTCCAGCAGATGGGGGGATAGTAAGCATCAAAACTAGGGGGAGAACATAAAGGCGAAGTGACTGATCTACTCAGCCCCCTGTCATTTAAAGTGTTAAGATGCCCAATAAAGTTCAAGCATAGGCCTTAGACTTGACACAAGACCTCTGTTCAGATAGGCTAAGGAAACTTAGGGTCATCAATAAATCATCAAATTAGAAAATATTTATTAAACTGTTAGAACAATCATGGAATTCTAGCACACTTTTGAGGAAACAAGCAGTTTCTTACGTGGAGCAGAGAAGAGAGATATCAAGGAGGATCACTGGCACATTTAGGAATGCTTCTCATAAGGGTGGCTGACCTCAGTCTTTATTTTATATAATTTTACAAGTTCTGTCTTGGGTCAATAAAGGACTAAAAATAAGTTTGTTACATGTTATAGAAACATGAATGTCCTACCTCTTTTGGGAGAGTGATGATAACATCCGTGTCTGATTGGCCAACAATTCTTGAAAGAAAGTAACTGCTGCATGCTGCAAGCACACAACGATGAGCACGAAATTGTTGATCTTCCACTAGGACGGTGACATCACAAAGAAGATCTCTTTTCCTTTGATCATTGAGGCTCAAAAGAATATTGGCACCATGTACTGAACATTCATATGCGAAAGACATTCTATTCTCAGTTAGGGACATTCTCTATGACAAATGATGGTGTACAGTTCAATGGAAAGCATACTTCTCTGGTCTTCATCAAACCTATGAAAGAAATGTACAAGATTACATAAAATATTAAATCCAGAGTGACTGTAAAGACTTAAGAACCACAGATTTCATATGCATGCAAGATGTCACTTAAATGTATCACAGTATATTCAATGTATATTCAAAGAAAATATATTCAAAATGTATATTCAAAGAAAATTATTACTGTATTTAAGGTTGCCTTTAAAAACCACATTTCTAGGGCAGCTAGATGGTGCAGAAGATAGAACACCGGCCCTGAAGTCAGACTGAGTTCAACTCTGGCTTCAGACCAAACATTTAACATTTACCAGCTGTGAGACCCCGGGCAAGTCACTTAACCCCAACTGCCTAAAAAAAAAAAAGAAAAAAAGAAAAAAAATTAAAATTTCTAACTATTCTCAAAATTTTAGAGGAAAAAAAATTCACAGGTGAAATTATTAATCCTAAGCAAAAAACTCTGCTAAGTGCCTGCTTAAATACCCCTCAAATCCTTGACAGATCACAAAAAAATTTACAATACAAAAAGAAGATATCTGTTGTTGGGTCATTTCAGTCGTGTCCGACTCTTTGTGATCACATTTGGGGTTTTCTTGGCAAAGACAATGGAATGGATTGCCATTTCCTTCTCCAGCTCATTTTACAGATGATGAAACTGAGGCCAACAGGGTTAAGTAACTTGCCCAGGGTCACACAGCTAGTGTCTGAGGCTGCAGTTGAACCCGGGTCTTCCTGAGTGCAGGCCTAGCTCTTTGCACTGCACCACCTAGCTGCTCTGTATCTGTAATTTCAAAATGGCATGAAGAAGGCATCACACAATATAGCCCAGATTTTACCTCAGATATTTGAAAACTATGGAGGGAGAAATAAATACCTTACACAAATGGAAAAATTGGGTTCTGATTATTCAGTATAACTTACAAAAATAAATGCAATCTACAATGCAATCTAACACTGAGACAGGCAAGTGCATCAAATGTTTTCTACATTATCTAAAATACAAGAAGAAACATTCAGGGTAATCATGCAATGGTGTCTTTCTATTCTAGAGTTATATAAATCAGAAACTAGTCCTGTACAAAGGATACAAACCCTGCCATCATAGGAAATGAGGCCCTAGTTTTCCAAAATAAAAATGCAAACTATAAACTATATGAAAAGATCCAAAAGAAATGCAAATTAAACCAATTCTAAAGTTCCACATCATACTCAGATTGGCAAAGATGATAAAAAATTAAAATGGTAAATACTGGAGAAGTTATTAATAAACACACACTAATACACTATGGATAAATTGAATTGCTTCAACAATTTTGGCAAACAACTTAGAATTATATTAGAAAAGTTATTAAACTGTACATATTTTGACCCAAGGATGCCACTACTGGTAATAGTACCCAAAGAAGATCAAAAGCAAAGGGAAAAAGCTAACATACATTTAAAAAATTACAGTATTACTGTTTTTGTGGTACCCAAGAACTAGGGGAAAAGCATAGGTACCCACTGATTGGCGAATAGCTAAACAAATTGTAGCATATAATGTAATGGTATACTATTGAGTCATAAGAAGCAAATATGTACAATTAAGGTTAGGTAGTGAGTTAAGTACAAGCAGAACCAGGCAAACAAAACTGAGAAAAATCAGAATTCCGAGCATGGGTCATAGCCACACTTTTTCCAAACAGGACAGAAGCGCTTGCCAGATTTAAAATAGTATAGATTTAATCAGCCCTGTGAAGTGGCCTGTGCTCACACAACAGTATGGAAAAAACAAAGGTAATCTCTGATCTCCAAGTTATGCCTTCATAAGCAGGATACACAGACCTACATAGCTATGAGCCAGAAGAATGATTTTACTTATTCTTAAAGTGGGTGGTATTAGGGTATCTGGAGCACAATGACGCTTCCCAATATTATTTGTTGGCGTTCCATGGTAGTATACATTATTGGCATGGCTATGTTCAAGTGTAATTTTTTGCTCAAAGGTCAGATAATGTTGTTACTGCCCATTAGTTACTACTGGTCCAAGAAAAGATTCTCTACCCCTGACGCTGGACAGCTGATAAAGTTCACCAGAGAAAAGTTACTATAGATCGCACCTGCAGAGTTCAAAGCCTTACTTTCCGGGTAGTCTTGCTTGGTCAATGGCAAACCACTTTTGAATTTCAAGATTGTTTTTTTCAATGTGACAGAAACTACTTTGGGGAGTCTCTACCAAACATTCTCAAAAATTTTCAGGGGCTAGCAATAAAAATGTTGAAGGAGGACTCAATGCTTTATTTCTAGAGAGAGCATGACATATTTCTGGAACACAGAATACCTTTTTCTTTTCCTTTTTATTCCTCGGGGGAAGAGAGGCAAACAAATGCTATTCATCTGCACCAAAAGTAGGGCAGAAAACATACCATTATGATTGTGTGAGTCTCTTCTCCTTCAGGAACAACAATAAGCACCATTCCATTGGTCATCCAGAGAGAGTATGATGATTTCAGATATTTTCTTTTGGGCAAGCAAAGGTCAAGTTGTACCCATCACAGCAAATGTTCTTACACGTTCTACTATCTGGAGTGGACAATAAGCTGCCATTTATGATGTGAAGAAGTTGCAGGAAGACAAATCAGCAAGAATCCCTGAGCATGAGTACCGTTAGTATGAGAATAAAGAAAAGTGATTTGACAGAGATCTATCTGTCCCTGAGAACTGAGCATCACTCTAGAAAACAAATTCCAAGTTGTGGGGTATGATTGTTTCCATATCAGATGCATACTTTGCTGCATCTCAGTCTCAGAGGCTGCACTGAGTGCACAATCATCTGAGAATGAAAAATCACACACCAACTCTCCTTCTACTTCAGTCTTGGCTTGTAACCTTTTCAAGTTAAATAATTTACTGACCTCAGTGCTCTTCTCATCCTCGCTGAAGGTATCTGACAACATTTCTGAAAACATCATGCTAAAAAGCATGGAAGCACTTGCTTCACTCCCTTGGTGACTGGGAAAGCATGAGAGCATTGTCCATTATCCAGAACCCATGCAAACATGCTGACATAAAACTGACATACAATACCAATGAACTTCTCCAGGCAGCCAAATTTTGCCATAATTTTCCACAAGCCCTCACGACTAACAGTATCAAAGGCCTTGATCAGATCAATGAACATCGTATACAGACTTCTGTTCTGCTCTTGGCATTTCTCCTGGAGTTGTTGGGCAGTAAACATCATATCAACCATTCCTCTGCCCTTTCTGAAGCCACAAAGGCTCTTAGGTAAATAACCATCTTTAGGTGAAGGATAGCCTATTAAGGGGAGGACTTAGACAAGAATCTTTCCAGCAGTGACTAAGAAAGAGACAATCCTGTGATTGTCACAGGAAAATATTTCCTATAACTTTAGAAAAACAGACAACGGAGGTATCTTTGAACTCTTGGGGGATAACTTTCTCTTGCCATATAACCCAAAAAATTTCAGTAAGCTTTTGTATGAGTAATGGACCTTCCACACCTTGTGAATCTCAACTGGAATAGAATCAGCACCACGTGCTTTGCCAGACAAGAGGAGCCTAATGGCATTTAAAACCTCTTCTTCAATTGGAAATTCAGCTAGAGAGGGACTGACTTCAATCTGAAGTATACAATCAATGTTTTCAGCATTGATTGATGAGGGCCTATTGAGAATACCTCAGAAGTGTTCAGCCCATTCCTCTGGGACAATGTCCTTAAACACTAATCAATGTGGCTTCATTAACACTGAGTAGTTCAGATTCACCAGCCGGGGGCGGTTGGCCTATAAATAGCTTTCGGGGCATTATAAAAGTGCTTTACACAGTTACTATCAGCGTAAAACTGAATTTTATTTGACTGCTCACAGAACCAAGAATCCAGTATCTCTTAGCTTCACTTGCACTTTACTTTTGATGGAGTTAAATGCTGCCTTCTTTGAGACAGATGAACTTGGTTAAACAGATGGCTTGGTTAAACCCTGTGGAGTTCTCATTTTTCCTGTAGCAGCATCTGAATTTCTCCATCGTTTTCATCAAACCAATCTTGATGTTTGCCGCTTTTCTAGCAGATGAGTAAATGTAAAATTGTACACCAAATCTCTGAAAGTTGCCCACTTCTTTTCTGCTCCACTTCTGCCAACTGTGTGTTGGTAGTCTGTGCCTACTCTTATATTAAAGTCTCACAAAATAATAACCTTGTTTCCTTTGGCACAATGGTAATGAGGGTCTCCAGCTCTTCATAAAACTTTTCTTTGACCTCATCAGGGTTCATCATGATGGGAATATATGCACTGCTGATGGTAGCATTGAGCTTTCCTGCAAGTAGCAATCACATTGTCATAAGCCTGTCATTCACTTCTTTTGGTAGACATACAAGCCTGTTGACAAGATTGGTTTTGACTACAAAACCTACGCCAGCTTGATAATGGTCCCCTTCACTGCAGCCACTACAGAAAAATATTTATCCAGCTCCAACTTTGGTAAGTTGGCCTTCACTGCCAGCCTTGTTTGACTCAGGGCTATTTGGATGTGATACCTGCCAAGTTCTCTCACAAGAAGAGCTGGTCGTCTTTCAGGTCTACTGGATTTTGTGCTGTCCATAAGTACGCGCATATTTTACATGCTGATAGTGAGTGGAATCATTTTTGCAAAAGTTTTTGTACAATTTTTAGAGTTTCAACCACAGGGTGAGATCCCTGCCTGCTGCAAAAGCAGACGAGGGCTGGGTGAAGCAGACCTCAGGGCACCTTTTCTAGCCCCTTTCTCATACCAACAGGTAAGCAGTATGGTCCTTAAAAAAAAGGCTGCTCAGACACCTAGGGAGCTGCCAAATTCCACTGCTGTTTCAGTCCTGTGAGAAGATGATCTGAGGGCCTGGGCTGATCATGTGCAGGTTTGTGATTACAGCTCCCAGCATATCTACAGCTGCTGCTTCTTCACTTGCGTGTTGCCAAAGGACTATGAGACAGATAAAAATGGTAAAATGGTATGAGTGATGTCTTTTGATTCACGTAT